TCTTCGTCAACGGTTGATGGATGACTTCTATGCCACGAATGCATGCAGTGCTTTGGTTTTTCGTTCTCAGCAATTCTATAGGCGAAATTGCTCCTTATTACCTGTGTTCTATATAACTGTTTATGGTAATGATGCTTAACTATTGCAATTTCAGTCATTTTTGGAATTTGGTTTTCTCCTTAGGAATTTCTTTTTTTTTGCCATGATGAATCGGTCTTCGAGTCTTATCTAATTCAGGAATTATTGGTTATCAAAAGCCAAAGATCGGGATAGAATTTGTTCCAAATAATGACGTCTCAGCACGGTGAAATTTGCGCTCTGTCCAAAGCTTTCTGCTCAACGCCGCAAAATATCGATTCTTTCTCGTTAGCTCCCCTACTTGGTTGCTTCGCATTAAAAACGTCTGTCTAAGGAAAGACGGCGAAGCTAACTGAATAGTTCCTCCACTGCCGTTTTCTTCTTTCTTTATGTCCTGGTTTTAATACGTAATCCCTTTGTTTCGTTCTTGTCATTTATAGTTGTAATTTAGCCGTCCTATTAATAATCCCGCAATTTTTTCAACGTGATTGTCTACAAATTTGTTATTGTTGACAGCAAATCATGTTCAACTTACCCATAATGTACTTTCAGTGATGGCAGACAGTGAACAGAAAGCCCGACGCAAGTTGGAAGAGGCTGAGAAGAAAACTCGAGGAGGTGGAGGTTTCCTTGGTAAAATTTTCGGAGGAGGTGGTGCTGATGAAGCTGCTGATCTGTTCATTCAGGTAACTTTTGTGACTTTACCCCCTCTCTTTTTTCCTTCAATTTTGTCTCTAGAAATTCAATTTTGTCTAGAACGCCTATTTGCAATCTCTTTTTTAGATAGTAAAAACTTTTTTAAATACTGAAAACCACCTGCTGAAGAACAAATAGTTTTTCAGCGTTCCCTTCATTTATCTTCCTTGAATAGATTCATTTTTAAACGCGTAGATGCAGCATTTGACACGGCTGTGGAATGACTAATGAAGCTAAATATCGCGTAGAACGACGATGCGTTTATGGCGTTATCCCCGTTTCTGTTAACAAACCTCGCAATTGCACGCTCTTTGCGCTTCACAGCACGTCAGAATGGCATAGTAAAAGCTATTAGTTAGAATGAGAAAAAACGATTTAGTCTACAAGACTGGTATTTTTGCTTCTTCCAAAGAGGTCTAGTTTCCACTGTACTTGATGATTAAAAAGGGTTCGCCCATATTTCCTTTAAAAATTTTTGATTTATGCAGACCTAATGTCACTTATCACAGCTTTCAAATGAGGGCTTCTCGATTTTTTGTTTGTTGGATGCTTAATTTGGACACACGCCTATATATCAAACTCTTAGCACGACGTTGGAAGATCGACAGTTACCGAGGATGAGGATGGTGCTGCCGATATATCAACTAGCTGTAGTGATGCCGCAGTCGAATGCGACTTGTGCGGTCGCGAATTTCCCGATGTTGTCGAATTTGAATCACACTACGAAGTTGCACATTCTCACCAATGTGTTGCTTGCTCGAAAATGTTCATTTCGAACAAAGCACTGGAAGTTCACAGCGATGAAAAACACTGCCCTTTTCACAAATTGCGGCTGGAGCAGAATCCAAGCGGTTCTCATTTCAAATGTTACCACGAACATTGTGAGCTTAGTTTTGCGAGTGAAGATGAACGTAACGATCACTGCCGGGAGAAACATAACATCAGAAGTGTTGAAGTCGTGATTGAGCGACGAAAACTGGCGAAGAAGGTCTGTGATCTTCAGCCATCACTATCCCGATTGACAGTTTCGTCGCGGAAGAAGCACGCAGTACCAAGAGCAATTTGTTTTGGACGAGAACAAGAAAAAGCTTTCGAAAGCAGTCACATGCGACGCACACAGCCTAAGAAGTGAGAGGCTGAGCATGCAAAAACGTTTCAATGAGCCCTAATAAAAATTGAACAACGTGTTGTACTGTATTTGTAATGGTTCGTACCAAAAAATATCCCAGTCATTGTTAGGCTGGAAATTTGTTCAAAATGGCAAAATTGTGGAAAGAAGCTGGTGACGCGTTCGTAAGGGCAGCAGAACTTCATGGATCGAAGGTTGTCCGTTTTTTCTTCTCAACTTTCATTTTCCTTGTAGAATTGCTGCTTATAGGGAGATTCCAAGCATGATTGTGCAAGCCAGTACGCGGAAGCCGCTAATTGCTATAGGAAGGTCAACCCACAGGTACATTAGATTTTAGATTTTTCATAAGTAGTNAAAATATCCCAGTCATTGTTAGGCTGGAAATTTGTTCAAAATGGCAAAATTGTGGAAAGAAGCTGGTGACGCGTTCGTAAAGGCAGCAGAACTTCATGGATCGAAGGTTGTCCGCTTTTTCTTCTCAACTTTCATTTTCCTTGTAGCATTGCTGCTTATAGGGAGATTCCAAGCATGATTGTGCAAGCCAGTACGCGGAAGCCGCTAATTGCTATAGGAAGGTCAACCCACAGGTACATTAGATTTTAGATTTTTCATAAGTAGTCTGTTTGAGCTTTGAACTCTGCCGATTTCCTCATTCTACTAGTTTCGTAAAGGAGAAGCAGGGTAAATGTTTTGATATTAGAACGCATAATATAATTAGGTTGATAACAGCGTTTTTTCCTTCTCATTGCTTCAATTAAAGGCTTACTTAGAGTAGTTTTTACAGCTAGCTGTGGATTGTCTTTTGAAAACGTCTGAAATCTACACTGACATGGGCCGCTTCAACATGGCTGCAAAAAATCACGTAACAATCGCAGAGCTGTGAGTTTTCGAGTCAATTTCATTTCTAAAAAAATCTCTACTTGCACAATTAGTTTTGGGTTTTGTTAAGTTTTTGTTGTCAAATATTGATAAGTATTTCAATCAGTTTCCGTAGCGCACAATAATTTAGATTTGAGACGGAATGTCCTGATACAGAACAGTGTATTCAACATTACCAGAAAGCGGCTGATTATTATAAAGGAGAGGAATCTAAGAGTAGCGCCACCAAGTGTCTTATTAAAGTAGCTCAGGTTGGTGGTCATTTATAGGTCTCTATTACTGTTCAATTTGAAATGCGATATTGTCATAGTATACGAAATAAAATCAAGACGAGACGAGATAAGGAAATCAGGACGTGAACGCCCTTTCATTTGTTGTTGAAACCATTCTCCGAACAGATGTTCGCCATTGTCTTGGCTTTCATTTCGTCTTTTTTAGTCTATTCCCTCAAATGGTTTCTCATTTCCTTGGGCGCGAATACTGAAATCCGTCCTTCCATAACTCCTCCCACATCACTTCTGCGATGCTGAAACAGTTCTTAACCCTTGTTTTGGGCGACTTTCGGTTACCCGTTGTGAGACGTTCTCGCTTTCGAGGCGGAAACTAGGTCGTCACCGCAACGGTCGTCCTCCCTGGCTTTCGGGTAGTTTCACTAAAAATGTTAAAAGTTCTCGAGGGGTTACCTCGCTTTTGGTCCCGTTATTTAAAATAAATTAAAATATTGATTTTCAAAATTTGTAGTATGCTGCACAATTGGAACAGTATCAGAAAGCCATAGCTGTTTTCGAAGAGATTGCTATGTGGGAAGCAGATCATCCTACTTTGAAATATGCTGCCAAAAACCATTTCTTCCAAGCTCTGCTGTGCTATCTTTGCATTGATCCGGTGAGTGTAAATTAGTTTTGTGTTTTTTCGAAGGTTTCGACATGTCAACATTTCGAAAAACCTGTGTGAATTTTTCAAACGAATTTAATCATGAGAAAGTGAATAGTGGAAATAAGTGAATATATTTAGCTTGATGCTCAACATGCTCTAAAACGATATGAAGACGCTTCTCCCTCATTCGCAGATACACGCGAGGCAAAATTGGTCAAGGTATGATAGTTGCGATTAGAGGCAATACATATTGTATCAAATTACTGCAAAGCAGATCAATTTTGCATATTTTTTTACTGGCTCTTGTTAATCTCGTACGAAATTGCTGTAAAAAAATATATGAAGGTCATTCTCTAAAAAATAAATAAGATCTGAAGATCGCTAGCGGGTAGCTGGACTGATATGTCTAAGTGCGTCAACATATCGCTCAATTGCAAAAGTGCGGGTACAGCTCAGGCGCAGCCTGAAGGGTTAAGAAATCGTGGTTTTCAAGTCAATTAATGTAAGTAGGTCATGTCTATATTGTCGAAATTTTGATGCCCATCTAAACGGCCTCTAGAATTCGGGGCATCCGTGTGATATTGAGTCGGAGACCTCAATTCAGTCAAACAGAAATCACAGTTCTTAAAGAATTTTTTATTGTTGAAAGGGAACAGAATGCGACTTTCCTTGAGGCTAGGTAGATTTTTGTGTGATCCAAGCAGGCTGATATCCTTTTATTTCTTTGAGATGTAGTTTTTTCTCATTTCATGTTTGTTATCGTTTGAGAGGATTGTTAGAACGGTCTGAATACTCGCCTTCATGTTAAGGATCTCATTGCTTGTTTGGAAGACGGTAACGAAGAGCTTTTCACCGACACTGTTAAATCGTTTGATAAAATCAGTCGGCTTGATCAGTGGCATACAGGATTGCTGGTTAAAATCAAGCGGTCCATCAACAAAGAAGAGGAAGATGATCTCAAGTAACTTTTCATACCTGCGCTTTGATTAAAATTGTGCACTTTATCGATAATCTTCTTTCACTTAATTCTCGGTGGTTCAGTTAGGCTCGACAATGATTATATTCCCATTAGAGTGGTCATGAAATTTTAGCATCTACAATGTGAGGGTTGTGCGTTTTACTGTAAATACGATGCATTGGTTTTAATCGCAGCACCAGGGCTATTGTATGTAGATCTATGACGTAAATTATCAGGCCACGTAGTTCGTACTAGCTTGTTGTGAAGGATTTTGTGCAAATAATGCTGCAGTATTAATAAAGTTATTAACTTATCACTTTGTTGTTTAATTGGAGATGGAAATCTTATATTATACTTTCAACTGTTTTTGTGTGCATCTTTATTAATATTGGCAGTTTTTAATAGCTGCTCCTTATTTGAATTATCATAGGAGAAAAGAAAAAGACGTTGGAAGGAAAGGGATTCTCTGCACGTCAATTCAATGAGATTAAGTTGTTTCACTTCTGCTGAATAACGTTTTAGATTATCGCGATAATTTTTGACTCTCACCATGTTGGGAAGAGTATGTATTTGAATTCAGCTGTGTAACTGAGGATTAGGCAGCTCTTGTTGAAGACTTCCTCAGACTACAGCTCGATGTGATCTTCGGCACTTTTCTATGTTAATGGGTTTCTATCCGATGTTTGACGGTAAATTTATCTCAAGCGTTCGCACGCTGTTTACATGAAGATGATGACCTTCATTTGCAGTGTTACTGTTAAGAATCTCTTCTGATTTTTCTAGTATTCGAAATGGGATATCTTAATTGGAGTGAATTTCGTTCACATAAGCATCAGAGGCCTTAGTCGCTCACAGCCTTAGACCTGATTATTGTCGGTGTACGAATGTTTTTTGTAATAGCTGGAAGATATGTGGAGTATTTCATCTCTTTTTCTCGTATTCCGAGAACATGGGATAGATTTGAAGTTTCAAA